CATCAATACACCAATCCATTGGACACCAAAGAGAGATTGATTTGGACTTTAGCGAGATGAACCCAGAACAGCCATTTCATTTCAACTGTGTATTCTTCTCCTGTCGGAAACTTGATCTACACCATCCATTTGTAGCCTCATGTTCCCCAATGCTTCAATGCCATAAGGTCAATTGATACATGTGGATTGTTGAATCAGTTGTCTGATAAGCAATCATAGAACATAGACATTGTTTGGATAATACGGCTTGTCGTTGACAGCAAATTTGGTAGTGATGAGAATCTTGGCCAGAATCAAAATCCAAGCGAATAATTTATGCTTCTGCTGGACACGCAATGGAATCTGACATAGAATAATGAAGAGGAATGGGTCAGCACTGAACAGAAGTGAAGCATGTAGCTAACGTATTAAAAATAGAACCAAACAAAAGCAAAATCAAATTTCTTGAAGCTGTTCAGGTGTCCAGCATACATATTTCACGATTTCAACATGATTGAATAGAAACAGTGTTAAGCATAGAGATCAAGTTTACCAAAAATAGAAGGCAAGCTAAGGTAACCAAAATAGCCCAAAAAATGTCACTATAGAAAATCTTGGATGTACAACTCATGAGCCGAATCTGAACTGATCAAAACAAAAGGACTTGGGACTATAATATGACAACATAAATAGGCTAGGACTTGGCACTGACAATCCAATGAATTATTTTTAGCCCCGTGGATATAATCATAATATAACAGGAACATACCAATGAATTGCCATTGCCGTCAATTTCATCTGCCTCCGCAATGAAATCTGCCATTTCATCTCCATCATCACCAACTTCCTCCTCACCCTCCCCTGCCAGCTGATCGTCATCGAATTCGTCCTCAAACGGTGCAGCATCTGAGGAAATTGAAGTTGATAGAAAAATAGTCTCAGCTACTTCCTGGGATAATTGAAAAAGACAGAAGGGAGTGAAGGGTAGCTTACGATCAATCTAAGGACTGCAGCAAGCACACTGGGAAGCAAGACTGTACGGACCATTTTTAAGATATTAAATAATGCACAGTAATATGAATTTTTGCTAACACTGTAAGGCTATGTTGACGTGTGCAGTTTCCCTTTCTTCCACGAATCAGAAAGCAGATTTGTAGATTGGAGGTTAGATGTCCTATTCTGATTATGTCATATCTTCAAATATGTTTCATAAGAAAACATTCATGAACAAAGAACAGAGTAATTAGTACCACTATCGAATTGGAGAATCAGTTCATACCTTTTTTTTTCTTTCGCGAATGCGCACGAGAGTGCGTATCTTTGCATTAGAAGAGGAAGGTTTATGTTACAAGAATGCCATAGACGGCAGTGACAATTGTTTGATGACTACATTGTAATTAAGCACATCGAAGTTTCGATTAGAAGAGAGGCAGCTGTCATCTTTGCGCCAGGCAACGTAGGCCCTGAGCTCCCGCTTCGATCCAACGATCAGCTTCGATCTTGATCATGTGGAGCGTCTCGGCGATGGAAGCTGTCAAGCTTCTGAAACACCGCGCGTTGTGTTCCTTCCACAGCTGCCAGGACACGAGGGCGAAGAGCGTGTTGAGACCTTTCCTTCGCTCACCGGGTGCAGCTGCCCGAATTCGTCGCCACCAGCCCAAGGTGGTGACTGCGGCCTGAGGCGATTGGATTTCCAGGGCCCTGAGCACCAAGAACCATATCTCTCTGGTAAAGGAGCAAGTCGCCATGATATGATCGATAGTCTCGGGCTCTTGGTCGCAGAGGTAGCAGTTTTCCCGGGCTTCAAGACCATGTCTTCTTCTCCTGTCGCCGGTCCAGTTCCGCCGACGCATGGCCAGCCATAGGAAGATCTTTACTTTGAGTGGTGCCCATGTTTTCCAAATGAGTTTGTGGCCGGGGAATGGAGATGAGCCGGCGTGCAGCATTGTATAGGCCGATTTAGCCGTGTACTCGCCGCTCACCGTCCAACGCCACATCGTGCGGTCTCGCTCTCCAGTCAGCTGGACGCCCTCCAGCAGTTGCCATAGGTGCAGGTAATCGATGATCGCCTGCATGGACATTCCACCGGTGAAGCTCCGTGCCCAGGTCCTGTTGTTCATGGCCATGCTCACTGTTTGTCGGCTATGGATTGCTTGCGGTACCAGACTGAGAAGGCATGGCGCGAACTCGTCCACCGACTCTCCGTTGAGCCATCTATCTTCCCAGAAGAACGTCTGTTCCCCGTTGCCGACGACCGAGTATGTGGACGCCTTGAAGAAAGCTTGCACCTGGGGGCATGTCTTGATCGGCAGTTGGCTCCAAGCTCTGTCCTGGTCGGCTTTTTGCAGCCATAGCCAGCGTGTTTGCAGGGCGTAACCCGTCAGCTTGATGTCCGTGATCCCCAGCCCGCCGAGCTCCGTTGGTCTGCAGCATGTGGGCCAATCTACCATGCACTTCCCTCGTACTGACTGGTCGGCACCAGCCCAGAAGAACCGGCGGCAGATAGCGTCGATCTCCTTGCGCGCCCAGGCCGGCAAGCTTTCAGCCATCATCGCATAGATGGGCACCGATCGGAGGACGGACTTGATCCAGATTAGTCTTCCGCTCCTGGCCATGAGTGCGCCAAGCCAGGAGGCATTATCTGTAGCAAGTAGGTGTAAGAAGGCACAATTCAGGAGGTAATCACACGTCCTGGATGAAAGACTGATCAGGGCTTGTTTGATTCAAGCCCTGGAAGAAGTTGCCTGTGCCTGGAATGAAGCTGAGACTTGCCTGTGATGTATTTGGTTGCAACCCTGGTTTGTCTCCCAGGCCAGGCAACAGCTGCCATGTCCAGGCGCTCAAAAATGTTACATGTACAGCTAATTAATCACGATGATCTGGGACAATCTCTTCTGCTGATCGATGAGTGACGACTGATCGATCACCTTCATGGCGCGGCGCTCCTTGACGAACGACGGCGCCCCCTGTCCCGGAGGTAGTCGACGCCAAGGGCGAAGTAGAGCTCGGGCGCCCTCGGCTCCACGGCGTGACGCCGGCAGAACGGCACCCACCGCCGCGCGAACCCGGCGGCCTCGAACAGCAGCATGTCCGCGCCGTCTCGCGGTTGGTCGGGGACAGCTTCGGGAGCTGCGCGACGAGCCACGCGAGCGCGAGCCACAGCTCGCAGACGAGCGCGGCCAGCCAGAGCCAGGGCGCGCCGCGCGCCGGGTGGGTGACGCGGTACCGGAAGAAGGCGGCGAGGAGGACCAGGCGCAGCGCGACGGCCGCGCGGTACAGGTTGAGCTCGGCCGGCGGGAGGGGCAGCTTGTCGCTGAGAGCCTCAGGTGGGCCGTCACGGTCACCTTCCCCGCTGCAAATTCAGACATGGCGAGCGAAACATGGTAAAGGCCCAGTTCGGCACGCACAAATTCTACACCAGGATTGCATTGCAGTGCCCCATGCTCTGATCTAATCTAATCTTGCCAGATAAACTTTACAGCGTGTTTGGTTCGCAGGTTCAATACGTCCAGAGCGAATTCATTCCGGACGGAGTCATTCCTTCCTTTTCTGCCGGATGAGTGGACCCGAACTATTGGCTTGCGAAGTTAGTTATGGAGGACCGGTTGGTGACGGACGAGATGCTTCTACGCCGCAATCCAAACAAATTACAGGCTCGGATATAGGTTCGGATGACTCCAGGACCAACCGGTGACACAATCCAAACGCGCTGTAAAACTTTTTCTTGGTGACAGGAAACAAACTAAAACCTGATTCGATACAAATGGTAATCCTGCGCGAGAATGAAATGAAATTGATACGTCGTCGTGCATTTGCAACGGCATTGAAATAGGTGGTGCGGAAGTGATGAAATAGCAAGAGCTAGGACATGCCAGTAGTCACCTTTCTGAAGATTCAGGCTCGAGGCCGGGGTCCTCCGGGTCCAGAGCCGGGGAGTTGACAGGCACGATCTCTGGGCTATCTTCGTCCATCTTATCTTGATCGTAACCAGTAACAGGCGAACAATTCAGTTTATTCAGAGTGAAATGTGCACAGTGCACATGTCATGGTTTCTCCTCAGTAATAAGAACCTGTGTGATCAAAGTTGTATAAAAAATACTAATATTTATAATACACAATGAGAACCATTAAGTTAATTATGAAATATATTTCTACACCAAATCTAATTGGAGATATAACTGTTAATACTATTCGCTATAACCTTAATTAAAGTTAAAACTAGTTTGACCTACACAAATGACAAGTCTCATAGTTACATCCTTTTGTGAACTACGAAATGTGTACGTGTTTATCTCATTGATCTATTTTAACCTTGGGATAAGATATCAAAATGGGTTTATGTTTTCTATGACTCTTGGCTTATTTCTTTCTTTTTGAATTTTAAATCAAGTAAAAGGTATGTTATTCTGCTCCATGATGTTTTCTCATCCAACAACCAATGATGTTTTTCTAATGACCGTTGGTTCATCGTTCCAATAGTTGTGTGTCATTTCCCTTTACCAAAAGCCCTTTATCCAATTAGGTCATGACAATGTGTCAATGTATATGATAGCAGGCCGTGTAATACCATATTTGTTCTCGAGAAAAAGGTTATTGTGCCTAGACAAGAAAAACTTGAAGGCAGTACCATCGAATTAGTCTCCCATTGCAAGCCAACGCTCCAAAATGCCCTTTCCGAAAAAAAAAAGTCTTTTACATGCGCCACAGAAACACAACATGAATGAAGCTACAATGACCTCTGCTTCTGCTATTTGTCATAGGAGTTAGGAGGTAAAGGCACCAATGACCTCTGCAAAGCTAATTTCACAATATGCGAAGCTACCGGTCGTGATGATATGGACAATGCATGTCAAGGTGGAGGCTGAGCCTATAAGCAAGAGTGTAGTGTTGGGACTGACCTTAGAAGCAACAAATTAAAATTATATGATGTATTTGTGCAATTAACATCTCCTGTTACTTTTGACGTACTGAATCTGCTTCCCACGGTGGTCATGGGCCTGGAGAACACGGCACGGCCCAGCTTAGAATCTCCTTTTCAATTTTCTCACAAGATCGGCGGCCGCTGCGACGCGGACTGCGCCGGCGGCGCTGAGTAGGAGTCGACGTTGACCCAGAGCAGCGAGAGCACGGACACGAAGAGCACCGACCATAGCACGGCGATGGTGGGTGCCCGCCTGTCCCGCCGCGCAAGGAGGCCCCTGAAGAAGCCCTGGAGGTGCGCCACCACCCAGCCGGCGAGAGCCAGCTTCACGAGGACCGGGCCCCAGGCGGTACCCGTGGTCCACCCCGTACGACACGGCCACCACCACGCCGGCGAGGTTTCCCAGCAGCAGACTCGCCGGCGGGATCAGCAGGTTCGACCACCGCAGCACGGACTTCCGCGCGTCGGAGGGCTCCTCGCCGCCGGCGCCATCATTGTCGTCATCCGAGGTCGACCGCCGCCTGGTCGCCGTCGTCCCCGCGGAGGTGGAAGAGAAACCGACGTCGACCCCGGCGCACGAGCGGAGGATGCCCTGGAACACGGCCGCGAGGCAAGCCGACGTGCCGATGACGACCCAGAGCTTCTGGTCCCGCCACCAGGCGCGCAGCGTCACGCCGCTCCAGCGAAGCTCCAGCGCGACCGTGGCCACCACCGAGGACAGGAGCAGGATGAGCAGGACCGCGTTATAGTAGCCCACGTCGTCCGGGAAGATGGACCTGCTGGTGAGGAGGCAGGCCGCCGGGAGCGCGCAGTAGACGGTGAGCGGGAGGGATGCCAGAGGGTAGGCGACGCAGCTCACGTAGCCCAGCCGCTGCATGAGCCGCAGGCGCCCGCCAGCGGCAGACCAGACGGGGCAGTGCCGGCTCAGCACGGCGCCCATGGCCGCGACCGCTCGCTGAGACGCCCCGGCGAGGACGTCGGAGGGGCTGGCACTCGCGAAACTCCGGAACGCGGTCCGCGCCGGCGCGCAGTACGCTGACGCCCAACCGCACGCGTGCATCCTAAACCCCGTGACCACGCCGCCGCCGCCGGAACCGTACATCCAGCCAATGTCTTTGCCCCACCTAGTCCGCTCCTCGTACGTGCAGCTGACGACGTGGATCGCCTCACTGAGGAGAGAAGAAGCATCTGAGGCCGTGGACGAGTCGCCGCCGCCGACGCCGCGCTCTTGGCTCACGAATGCTGACGCGATGAACTCCGGTGAATGGCCGAAGTGCCGCTCCAACGCGTCGCGGTAGGAACGCAGCCTCCGCCTTCTTCCTGCAATGCCAGCGGTTAGGACTCCGAGCAGGTGAGCATTGAGAAGGAATGAGAATTGCTAGCTTCCATCGACGTGCCTGCTTCGGTCAGCTCGTCGGTGTCCTCCGAGTCAAGCAGAGGCACGGTCCGCCACCACCTGCTCCGGTGCACCGCGCGTCCTCATCGTCGTCTTCAGAGAACGCGGGATCGAACCCGTACAACGCCTTCCTGTTGAAGCAGCAGCCGGAAACGACGTACACCGGGCCCTGGATGCCGTCCAGGCACTTCATGTCGATCTGAACCCCAGCGTGCGTCACAAAATCGGGTGTTGGTGTTACGCGACTCGGAGAGCAGTGGCGGACAGCGATGCAGTGTGCAAGTAAAGCTTTGATGGCTTACGTCGAAGAAGACAGAGTCGCGAGTGGCATGCCGCTCGCCACCGTCGTCCTCGACGCCGATCCTCAGCGGGAACTGGACGAAGCACGTCCTGTTCCCGGCCTCAGGGTCCATGAGGAAGCACATTGCCTCCCTCAGGACGCCGCTGTTGGCGATGCAGTGGTCGTGGTCCAGGTTGAGCACGTACGAGCCGTTCGTCAGCAGAGCGGACACCCGGAGCTGGCGAACAAACAACTCAGAAAACCATCGCAGGTTGCAGCTGAAGAACAGACCCACGACGGCATACCAGGGCGTTGAGGGCGCCGGCTTTCGTGTGATGCTGGAACCCCGGCTTCGTCTCCCGCGACACGAGCGCGGCCAGCCAGAGCCAGGGCGCGCCACGCGCCGGGTGCGTGACGCGGTACCGGAAGAAGGCGGCGAGGAGGACCAGGCGCAGCGCGACGGCCACGCGGTACAGGTTGAGCTCGGCCGGCGGGAGGGGCAGTTTGTCGCTGAGAGCCTCAGGTGGGCCGTCACGGTCACCTTCCCCGCTGCAAATTCACCCATGGCGAAACATGGTAAGGCCCAGTTCGGCACGCACAAATTCTACACCAGTTCCGCAGGAATTTGCAGGATTGCAGTACCCAGTGATCTTGCCAAAGAAAGAAAGTAAAAGGTTTTCTTGGTGACAGGAAACAAACTAAAACTTGGTTCGATACACATGGTAATCCTGCACGAGATTGAAATTGACATGTTGTGCATTTGCAACGGCGTTGAAATGGGTGGTGCGGAACTGATGAAATAGCAAGAGCTAGGACATGCCGGTAGTTACCTTTCTGAAGATTCAGGCTCGAGGCCGGGTTCCTCCGGGTCCAGAGCCGGGGAGTTGACAGGCACGATCTCTGGGCTATCTTCGTCCATCTTGATCGACGATCGTAACTAACAGGCGAACAATTCAGTTTATTCAGAGCGCAATGTGCACATGTCATGGTTTCTCCTCAGTAAACCATTTGATGTAGTACAAGAAACCATATATCAAAAGCCAGTGAAAAACGAAAACTGTCTCGATCGATCTAAAGTAGTCTCTTTTGTTCTCTCCCATCCATTCCTTCGTCTTCATCTTCAAATCAGACGCAAGACCCCAGATAATTCCTTTCCAGACATCTGGCTGGGAATGGGAGCGACAAGATTTGGGTCGTTCCTACGATGTTTGCGAGGCGGTTTCAGTGGAAGAAACGACACGGCAGGACAAAACTACCTTTTGTGTACTAGCTGCAACAGGCATAAACTGTGCCTGTGGTAGTAACAGACAGGAGGGTGAGCTAGTATTTGCCGAGGAATCAGAGTCCGCAGCATCTAACTTGTTCCTGTGTAAACCTAAGCAAACATCTAGTCAACCGTTATGTTGGCACGAGAATGAACTAGATCGTGTGATCCGGTCTATAGCCGGCCCAAGAGAAGGCCGTAAGCCTGCAAGTGTCGCACATTTCAGTTTCAAACACTTAAACAAATAGTAAGGCTGATTTTTATTTTCAATTTTATAATTAGCAACAGTGTTCCACCAAGGATCAGACTAACTGAAATGTGTCATGTGAAATTCACATGATCTGCACGTTTGTACAGGTGACACAGAAATTCAGAATTCAGACAAACCTAGTTACAGTACAGTTGCACCATGGACTGCACTGTGCCCACGCCGCCTTATGTACAGTCTACACGACCGAATTACATGTTGGCAACACGATTGCATACAGCTAGAGAAGTTCCAGAGCGGACTGAACACGTGCATATGCAGCACAGGTGTCCCTGTGAAGGATATGAGATTGTCAACTAAATAACGAGCTTGATTGATCAGGTGAACAGCCAATTCAAACTTATACTACTAGTAGTAGCTCTCAAGGGGGTATTTCCTTGCTTTAATCAATTTCTTCAAAATGCAACCGGTTCTAGTCTTCTATAGACGACAGCTATTGGCTATCTCCACCGGCACTGCTGCCACCTGGGCCTCCTCTTCTGTTTACAGTGGTGTTCTTCAGTATCTGCAGGCAGGAAAATCAAATTACAATCAAAGTTTCAGTTATAAGATAGGAAACAATGTTGGAATACCCCTGTTTCAAATTACAGGCCACTCTAGTTTTGTCCTAAGTTAAACTTATTTAGTTCTGACCACATTTATAGAAAAATGCACTTCACATCTACATTCTATAATATCAAATAAATGCACTATCAAAATATGTTTCATAGTTTATATTTGTTTGATTTCAGTTATATTTTTGTATTTTATAAATTTAGTAAAAGTTATAGAAGTTTGACTTAAGACAAAACAAGAATGACTTACAATTTGAAACAAAAGGAGTATGTTTTTTAAAATATTTGGTCAAAATTAAAGACATCGGACTTAGTGGAAAAAACTTCAAAATTTCGGCTATACATGTGTGATCTCATAATGTATAACAGGTAATTCATTTTTCATTCATTTTTTTCAAATTTTGGTCAAAATTTCAGGAAAAAACAAAAATTACAACCGATTTTCAGCCTTTCGGTATTCACAACCGGTAGGCCGAATCTTGGGACAAAACAAAAGGGACCTATATAATCTGAAATGATAAGTAGTACGTACTACATGCTAACAAAAGTTAGTTAAACATGTGGCTGACAGTTTTACCATTACACAACATAGTACCAATGGGCTTTTGAAGTCTGATCGCGCACTATTTCCACGATGGAAGGAATGGACTATATCATTGGTCACCAATGTTAATTAAGTGTGTCAATGGCTTCTGCATGGTGGTATTCGGTAGGATAATGACATAAGCTCCATTTTTAGTGGCTAGTGCTTACTATATAAAATACAAAGAGTACTTGTAATTCATTCATCACAGAAAAAGGTAACCCCTCCAACCATTATTGGAGGGCGCATTTTTGTATAAAGAAATATTGAGAGGTGAATTTTCAGTTTTAAACTTATTTTTGACCAAGTATATTCCAAATTGCTATGATGCTAAAAGTACTTCAAAATACAAGCACATCAATATAACTTTTATGTACTAAATAAACATGTATATAATCTAACAGTTTGGTCAAAACTTGCAATGTTTGACATATTTCAAATCAAAATATGTCTTACAAAAAAAGTGGAGGGACGGAGTACCTCTCTAGTGTTAGACATTCTTTTTGTTCTCTTATATACAGCAGTATGTTTCAAGAATGGGTAAAAAATAGTCAAGTTTTGCATAATATGAACTTTGTGCACGCTTGCATATTAGTCATGAGAGGTAGGGAACTAGACTTTGCAGTTCGTCCATTATTCAAGAAATAGGAACAAATAAATATGTAATATGATATGACTGTGCTGCGTGTACCTGTCTAAGCATTTGGTTCTCGTTCTGCAGCGTGGAGAGCCTCTCCTCCAGTTCCGAGTTCCTCTCCTCCAGGTCTTTGACCCTCACCTCCAGCTCGCTGAGGTACGCCTTCTTCCTCTCCCGTGCCTGCTGCGCCGACACCCGGTTCCGAAGCAACCTGATGAAAAGTGCGAGCATCTTAATCTGATCGTGCCTATGCATTGTGTAATTGTGACCAATGTGGATATATAAATAGTTCGCGTTGGGCTTATGGCTACGAAAAGGCCCATTTGTGATTTGGGCTGCCGATATGACATCGCTTGTCACCGTTCCTCAGCAATACGGAACGGGAAAGCAATCACCGCTACAAAAACGATTTGTGGCAACGCCTCTCTTTCTTTGTAGGGGCGGCTCTATATTGAGCCGTTTATACAAATGGTTGTCAAATGAGCCACCCTTACAAATAGATTTGTAGGAACGGACGGTGTTATCAGCTACTCCTACAAATGGCTCGATTTGTAGGGGTGGCTCTATATCCAGCCGCCCCTACAAATCAGATTTGTAAGGGCGGCTTAATATTGAATAATCCCTATAAATAGACACTGAATATTAAAAATTAAGCACTAAAATTCAAATTTTGTAAACGACATCGGATAGAGAAACAACCTAAATGAGATAGGAAGAAAGAGAGCTGAGATAATGACGCGCGGCTCCCGCACGTCAGGTATCCAATCCCACCAAACCTGGCCCTTCATCCAAATAAGAAGCTGGGATAGACTAACCCATTAAACAAAACATGAAATGGGTTGAACCCATCATAAAAATCAGGGTTTTTTTAGGTGCCTAAATCAAGCACATGTTTTTTTAGGGAAAAACCAAACACATGCTTATCAAACAAACATAATAGTCTAATGTATTTCAAACTCAGATGTCAGTATATATATATATATATATATATATATATATATATATATATATATATATATATATCTTATATATAGGTATATATATATATCGGATCAAGAAATGTTTTATCCACATTTAATATGTTTTATCCACATTTAATATGTTGCAACGTAGGCATTTCGCATAATATAAATTATTTTTAAGACGAGACAAACAAAATGTGATTGGCTCGGTTTCAATTTTAGAGTCATGAGTCAATGAATTAAATATTATGAAATAATAATATAGTGAAACTTTTATATCGATGATGATTATTTTATCTCTATTTTATTTTATATTTTTGCTCACGTGGTAGACTTGAAATAATAGAGGAGTAGAAAATGGCATAAAGGGAACTTGTATATGTACCTACTGGCATCTACTCCTGTTTAGGTCTACCACTCTACGTACTTACTACACCGACACAAAACCTCTCGATCGGGTCTTGACCCTTGAGGACAGTCTCTGAATATTAGCATGTCCTCCGCGATCGTACCAACAAGAAGCAGCTAAGCTCGCAACGGATCCAGCTACGAAGAGGCGTCAAGGCAACGCACCTTTTGAGGCGCCGATATTCCTTGTCGGCGGGGCTGCGGCCGCGGCGGCGGGCGGCGCTGGCTGCCTGGGACGCGGACGACGTCCCGGCAGTAGCGACCGCGGCAGCAGTGGCCTCCCTGCCGGACGTCGACGGGCCGGCCAGCTCCAGCCCGACCTCCGGCACCCTCCTGATCTCCTCGTCGCTCTCCATCGCTGCACGTACACCGCGGCCAGTGATGATCTTGTTAAAATCAGTCTTGATCTCGGAAACTCGTGCATGCATGCTAGCTAGCTGATCGACGTGAGAGAAATACATTGCTGCACTTCACTTGTAATTGTAAAGTTATACAGGACAAAAAGTCTTTTCCTTCGAAAGAGGAAAGAAGAAGCGAAGACCAAAGATCCTTTTCAAACAAAGTGATGAACCAAGAACAAGCAGAGTCAGAAGCACATGCATGCTTGAAGAAACAGAGTGATGAACCAAGGAGAGAGAGATCGTCATAGAAAAGCAAGTGTTGTGTGCTCGTGCCTTCCCTGGTCTCCTCCGTCTGCGGCGCTGAGCTTGAGGAGCGCTCGCTGCTGGAGGGCAGCGAGCTCGTCGTCTGATCCTGCATATTCTTGCGCGCTCGGCTGTCGGCTCGTCGGCAGGGGGGGATAGATTTCTTATTAATTGCGTGCACGTTTCTCTGTCTCCTGAACCTTTATTGGCGCTTTGCTTCCTTCCTGCCTTCCCTTGCCTCGACTTGGAAAGTGTTCGACGATTTGTTGTTGATTATGCTCAACATGGTCGACAGTTTTTTCCAAACATCTAGCGGGATCTTTTACAGACGGCCCCTCACCGTCTCTCATATTTCACGTGTTCCTGCTCGTCGCAGCAGTGAAATCTATATCTATACGAAAGAAAAGCACTAGAAATTCGACGAGGAAAGAGAGGTTTTGTATGCAAAAAGCCCAAAAGGCACTGTGCTTTCGGCTTCCGGGGATCCAGCTCTTGCCGACGTGACACTGACAGGGCGTCCACCGTCCAGTTGAAATCGCGGGGCCCGGGCGGGGGCGCCCCCAGCCATCCGTCGCCGCCGGATCAAAGGGCCGGGACGCCGGCCACGTCTCGCCGCACGGGGCCACGCGTTAGCGGAAGGTGGCGAGGCGCGCTGCGTGGACGCGCTCCCGGCCCCCCACACCGCTGCCGCTCGCCGACACGGTGGCCACGGCGCGTCCGGACCCCGCGCGTCAGCGACGTGGGCGGGGGCGCGCAGGCGGGCAGGTGCGCGCCGGCACGAGGAGGGCAGCTGGGGGCGCGGCGCCCCTCGCTGCCAATGGAAATCATATCGACACAGGCCAACAAGGGCTGCAGGATGCGTGCGGGTGCCGGGGTTAGGGGCTCAGGGCTGTCACTGGCCGGCGGCCGACCTTTTGCAGATTGTTGTGTTCCGTGGAGTCGTCAGCCCGGCACGCTGCGAGACTCTCGAAGAGAAGGAGAAGCGGAGGAACAGGAACAGGAACAGGAACAGGAACAGGAACGAGCGGGTAGGTTGCGTTTAGTTGAGAGTCAAAGTGGGGTGGGACGGTCCTGACTTTGATTCGTGAGATGTGATGGCTTCATTTTTTGTTTAGTTAAGGAGGGATGGGACGAACCCATTTTCTGTTTGGACCAGAGACCACAAAAGTGGGATTAGCTACTGACAGGTGGGACCCAATTGTCAGTTTTTTTAAATTTTTTTTCTTTTCTCTTTCCTCTCCTTATCTCTTCGATCCCAACCACCCACCTCGTCTCCTCTGCCGGCGCCTGGCTTCCCCAGCGAGCTCGCCCCGCGCCTCCTTCCCCTGAGCTCACCCCGTGCCTCCTTCCTCCGAGCTCGCCCCGCGCCCACGAGGCGGCGGCGGCGCTCGCCCACGAGGCGCCGTCGCTCGGTGGCCGGCGAGGCGGCGTGCTTGCGCTTGCTCACGAGGAGGCCCGCGAGGCGGCGGCTCTCGCCCGCGTGGCGGCCTGCGAGGCAACATGCTCGCCCCGTTGGGTTCCTCCATCTTCGAGCTCCCGCGCGCCCGTCCTTCTTCCTCCCATCCTCTCCCGCGCGGCCGCGAGGCCGGAGCTCACCTGTGCAGCGGCGGCGGCGCCTGAGGCTGGCCGCGGCCGACCTTGCCCCTCCTCTCTTCTTCCACGCCGGCCAGCGAGCGCCTCGTCCCACTTGGGACGGCCCCCGTCCGAGAAATCTGAGGGGACGGAGTGAACCCGAATCTCATGCGAATATTCCCGAGTGGGATGTCCTTGCTCCCGGGAGACTCCCAACCAAACATCAGACGTCCCAGGACCGTCCCGTTCCATCCCACCTCATCCCTCTATCCAAACACAGCCGTAGAGAATACCTCTGGTCTTGGGACTGACACGGTGGCCTATATTGGGCAAAATAGCCTTTGGAGTTCAGAAAACTTACGGAAGCAAGGGGGGCATGGCCCACTATGGCTCCCACGTAGCTCCGCCGTTGTTGCAGACAGCTTCGGCACATGCAAACTAGTGATGTTACATGAAAAAATTCAATGACTGTGAAATAGAGAGGAGACCTATATATGCAACTTGTGTGACAAAATTCTCATGGAAGATATAATGGTACCTCTGTTGAATGCTTCCATAGAACAAAAATTGGTGTATGATATTGTTATTACTACATTTAACAAAGACATAGATTGCTATTTCATACTGATTATTAAAACAAGTACTTCCTTGGCCTCTCTAATACAAAGTGTGCTACAGACAAAATTTATTGCTTTTTTTTAGTATTGTTTTCCAATATTCTTCGATATTCTTACACTACAGTCTTGAGATGTTTATTGTAGTGCTTAGAGGGAATAATGAAACAAATTGAACAAAATTATCGTTTTGCGCATGCATTATGTTTTGTGGTGCGGTAGAAAACAACAATTAGCATGTGCTTTTCAGCATTTGGTGGTATCGCGGTTAGTGGTGGTGCACAACAGCACAAGATGTAGCTGGAAAAGCAATGAAAGCTGTTTTGTCAAGCAAGAGTTTAGCTAGCAGCACAAATAAGTAATCTGAAGCAAATATGAAAAATATGAGAATGGGAGTGAAGAAGCAAGGTTGTTTCTTCTGCTCCTTGTTTTTTCTATGCTTATTTGTCCAAGGTCGTGGTAGCGGCATTGTAGACACATGAGTTAGGAGCGATCTTTACTAAATAGAAACTTTTGACCTAATGGTATTATAGCTATGACATGTTTAGTTGATTTATTAATTTCGGCATACTAGTTTTGATGACCTACTAGTATCATCTAACTTGCTAATAGTGTTAATGGACCAAAAGTGAGTAGCACATATGTCCACACAAATATTAGTAAAGCATTGTTTGGATCCAACCTTATTAAACTTTCTAGACTTTTTTAGGCTTCAGGAGTGGTTTTGTTGATACCAAGGAATTCAAGAGGAGTGGGTGGGAAGGAAGGTTAATCAAAAGCGCTGGACTCTATATATGCTTGTGTTGTCCAAAAACTATTCAATGTGCGTGCATTGCCAACACGCGCGACACAATGCAAGTTTAGATTTGGGGAGGTTGGAGGTTGTGTGACACGGGTGGGTAGTGGGCGGTGCAACTGGCGACAAGGGCGATGGACAAGGCAGCGACAGTGGTGGGGATCTGGGGTTGTGTTTTTTGGGTTTTGATGAGAAGTCTCCATGCCCGACAGCCATTATCATTTTTGTTGTGTTATGGTAAATACTTGAGTCTTAATGCATGTAATCGGCTTTAACATTATGTAATAACCACTATTTTCTGGTATTTTTAAAATTTGTCACTATATGTGTTATGTGGACATCCTGGTCACAAATATAGTTAGCATTGTTTATTCTTAAAACTGGGTGCGACAACCATGCACACTCTAGCAGCATAGAGAATCCTAGTTGCCAAACAATGGAACTTACACCGAATCAAATGCAAAGCACCAAGCTTAACAAGAATTAAAATGCAAGAATGAAAAGATGGACAAGAAACCATCATTTTTCCCCTTGGCTCGAGTAAACCACGTTCAAGTACTGAAGAGTCACTAAGAGCCTGTTACGCTTCCTTAACTCACCAATATTCAAGTCTTCGTTAGTGAATACTCCTCCACTCCGGATTGGCAGGCTTCAAACCGAGAACTCCTCTAGGATCCTTCCCACACAAGAAGCTCCACCGGGAAGGTCACCTAGTCCTCCACCGGTCTATCCAGGCGTTGGCAAAAGCCAAGTCTTCAACCTTCACTTGATGAAAACCAAAGCCAAAAACGTTAGGTGCACACTAAGCACACATGCCCCACCCATCATCTCGACTTAAAATGACCTCAAACCCTTCACTGTACCTCTCTCTATATGTGTAGCTCACCCAGGGGGTTCAAGAGAGCTCACTGAGATCTAGAGAACACATATATATGGTGTGAAGAGACTACTAGCCGCTGAAAAAAGTCTATGGAAGTAGATTTCACCAGATGAGATCCGCCGAGAACCACACAAGCGCACCAAATCATACGTTGATCCTATCCATGCCAGTGTGGTCGTTTAGTACTATATATGGCCAAGTCAAAGTTGAACTCCACACAGTGCCATCGATCCACCAGGCAGGTTCAAATCATCTAGTGCAAGTTCTGTTGCATATTTCTTGACTGTTCTAAGTCCAATATCATCCAATTCAACTTCTTTGATATCCTTGACTTAAAACTTATCTGACGAGGATACTCTTGAGTTGACTTAGGAGAATGTACCACATGTGTGCATTCAAATGCCCTCAAAATAAATCCCATCAAGCTGCTAGTATTTGAACTCCCCTAAAAGTAGGGCCAAAGATAAAACAAAGACCTGAACACTACGTCAAGAGCCTCTGAACATGACAATAGGGCTATCTCCCTCCATCACTCTACTAGTCTCTCTTTCTTTTTTCTCGTCCTCCCTATATGGTTGACCGGTCGCGGTAGTGGCACACGTTTGGTGGGTCGCGGTGGCCATTTTCAGCGGGATATGGCCAACAGTCTGCGGCTGTGCTCTCATATATCCTCGTGACAAGGTCTCGTCCTAGTGTGGAGGTCACCAGATCTATGCTTGTTGAGCTGGTGGTAGACACACACGGTGTGTGTAGGTGTGTAAAGATCATGCGCCTAAGTACATGACTAATCGTGGATTTGGCAATAATTTCTTATAAGCCACTATGTTGTAAAATACTCGTAGTACAAATG